TAAGTTTGGCTACAATTTCAGTAGAGGTAATTTTGCGACAAATCTTCACTTCTTTATAATATGTGGTCACCACTTGTAATGAATTGCGATATCAATCCAAAGCACTTCTGGAAACTCACGCCGTTTTATAGGGTTTGGTGGACCTGCACCATGTCAATACAAGAGTACATCCTTTACAGGCTTTAACAATTTTATCAGCCTCTGTCGCATCTAGGCCACCAGACTTTCGTACGAAGTCTCGCCTTCATTGACACAATACCGGGATGTGCCTCGTCAGCTGCATCCAAAACTCTTTTACGGAGTGCCGAGGGAACCACAATTCTCATTCCTCTCAATAATATACCCTCATGAAAACATAAAAACATTTTTGCTTATTTGTTGTCTCGACAATGAGTCGGCGATATTGGTTTTCCCTGGTTGGTAAACTATTTTATAGTCGTAAGATTGTAAGCGCATAACCCATCTCTCTATCCCTGCACATGGTTTAGATTTAGGACCAAATATTACCTCCAACGGCTTGTGATCTCTTATAAGTTCAAATCTTTTACAATAAAGGAATATGTGGAAATGTTCCACCGCCCACACGAGAATTAACGCTTCTTTTTCTGTCTGGCAATAGCGGCGTTCACAGTGAGTTAGAGTTTTGTGGCCATATGCAATAATCCTGGGCTCACCTTTGGAATTAGTTTGAACTAAAACTCCACCTAAATCCACAGGACTAGCATCTGCTATGACAATCGTACGATCGCTAACATTATAATACCCTAAGCTAGGAATATTTGTCATGATTTCCTTCAACGACTTAAAATACCCCTTTTGTTCTGGTCCCCAGTTTTCAGTTACATGATATGCCAAACATGAGTCTCTTGTATCTGAATAAGCCTTTACTGGTTATAAAGGTGGTTGTTTCTTGAAGCAGGATCTATTTCAAGTTAGTGAAATGCGTCTTTAATATCCAATTTTGTAAATACTTTTGCATTTTTTATTTTAGGTAGCAACTTGTCTATCGTCGGCAATGGGTAATTTTCTCGTACAATGGCTCCATTTCCTTTCAGCACCGGCACTACAGGGGACACCCATTTAGAAGAACCCACTATCGGCTCTATAATATCCCTATGTTTAAGTTCTTCTTCCTGTCGAAACGACCTTTCTTTTGTTCATGTCTATATTATTATAATATTTCCACTTTCCGCTTCAACGTCTGTTTCGTTCGGCAGTATTGTCTGAAATGCCCCATAAGACCACCCTTTAGGCATTCTTTATTCCTTGCTGGGCATTTTGCATCATTTCCAGCATGTCTAGGTTTACCACATCTACCGAATCCATGTACAAAATTCTTTAATTTATCAAAGTTCCTTTTAAATTTACTATCTATCCTGTTTACTTCTTGATTCTCATTTGATTTCAGTGATTTTTTAAACTCGTCTAATTGTTTATTAACAACTTCAAGAGTATTTGCTTCGGTGATTACTTGCTCTAATGTAATTTCATCCCCAATCTGTGATATCGTTTTTCTCAGTTCGGGTAGAAAACATTTTTTCGTTATTTGGTCGATAATGTTTTCATCTCTGTCGGCAAACTGACATTTATCAGCTTGTTTTCCCAGTCTCACCACAAATTTCAATTTTTTCGTCAGGTTCTTGTTTAAGGAGTCTGAATATATGTCTCTCGTATACTTTGTTCTGTTTTGGTGCAAAGTAGGCATCAAGTTATTGCTACTTCAAACACGTCTTTGCCTTCAGTTGGTTCGACATCAGCTCCAGGAATGTTGTAAAACACTTCCTGTAAGTCTAGCCCGCCGAAATGTAGAAGAGAGGCCCTTTTCTTTACGTCTTCGTCAATGTTAGACGCTTCGAGGTAAATGAATAGTGCTCGTTTCCATCGCTCCCATCGTGCACCCATTGAGGTAGATTTACCGTTACAGTCGAACTTTTCCAGTGAAAGGAGTGACATCTTTGGGGCGACCAGGAATTATCAATTTAATGATTCAGATATCTATGTATCTGCAGTTAGATTTGATCTCAGATGCTTCCATCTCGTATCAATTTAATGATCGGATTATATTTTTATCCGCATAAAGCTACTTAAGCCGTCCATACCAACAAACGTATAAATTGAATTATCAGATTTTTAATCTGCTAAGTTAGTACCCACTAACGTACAATAATAATTTTATTGTAAAGCTTTTATTTTATTTATTGGTATCAATTTAATGATCAGAATTTTAATCTGCTTTTGTTTTTTATTTACTGATATCAATTTAATGATCAGACTTTTAATCTGCTTTTATTTTTATTTACTGGTATCAATTTAATGATCAGACTTTTAATCTGCTTTTGTTTTTATTTACTGGTATCAATTTAATGATCAGACTTTTAATCTGCTTTTGTTTTTATTTACTGGTATCAATTTAATGATCAGACTTTTAATCTGCTTTTGTTTTTATTTACTGGTATCAATTTAATGATCAGACTTTTAATCTGCTTTTATTTTTATTTACTGGTATCAATTTAATGATCAGACTTTTAGTCTGCTTTTATTTTTATGATTGGCATCAATTTAATGATCAGACTTTTAGACTGCTTTTATTTTTATTTACAGGTATCAATTTAATGATCAGACTTTTAGTCTGCTTTTATTTTTATTTACAGATATCAATTTAATGATCAGACAATTAGTCTGCTTTTGTTTTGATTTACAGGTATCAATTTAATGATCAGACTTTTAGTCTGCTTTTATTTTTATTTACTGGTATCAATTTAATGATCAGACCTTTAGTCTGCTTTTATTTTTATTTACTGTTATCAATTTAATGATCAGACTTTTAGTCTGCATTTATTTCTATTTACTGGCATCAATTTAATGATCAGACTTTTAGTCTGCTTTTATTTTTATTTACTGGCATCAATTTAATGATCAGACTTTTAGTCTGCTTTTATTTCTATTTACTGGCATCAATTTAATGATCAGACTTTTAGTCTGCTTTTATTTTTATTTACTGGCATCAATTTAATGATCAGACTTTTAGTCTGCTTTTATTTTTATTTACAGGTATCAATTTAATGATCAGACTTTTAGTCTGCTTTTATTTTTATTTACAGGTATCAATTTAATGATCAGACTTTTAGTCTGCTTTTATTTTTATTTACTGGTATCAATTTAATGATCAGACTTTTAGTCTGCTTTTATTTTTATTTACAGGTATCAATTTAATGATCAGACTTTTAGTCTGCTTTTATTTTTATTTACAGGTATCAATTTAATGATCAGTTGGGTTCCAACTGCTTTGAGTAGATACTCCCTTTTGTTTTACAGTATTAATCACAACCACATAGTTTTAATTAATTTAGTGAACCAGATCCAATTTAGGGTCTTTGTTAAATCTGCGTTAGTTAGGTAGACAGGTACCTACCGATTTAACGGTCAACGGTTGTAAATAAACCTTGCTATTATTTTTATTATTATTATTTTTTTAGACAAATAGAAACATCACTAAACACAAGCATAATCTTAGTATATATAAATTACTGGTCACATTGTTTGTCCGCTATGGACTCCTAAACTACCGAACCGATATCAATCAAATTTGCACACCGTGTGCAGTTTGATCTAACTTAAAAGATAGGATACATCTCAATTTATACCCGCAATATTATTTTATTGCAAAATATTTGTTTCTTATTTAATAGTCACCATTCTATCAGATGGCGCTGTGTTAAAAGTACCAACGTTTAATAGAATTCTTTCAACGTTTCTACAATTTAATGGCATAACCACCATAAAGCATGGTGGTCCCCATGACTGGTGTTCTCCTAGCGTTACCCTTGAATAGTTTACTACTTTGTAATATAACAAAAACCTTAGCCACAGCAACGCTTGGCCGGTCTACTAGTACAATATATTTCTATCACTATGTAGGTAGGTGCTACAAAACAATCGTACTTATAATGTAGGTACCCGTAGCTTAGCTTAGGTGAACTTATAGGTAATTATTTGTTTATATCCTTAGCTCAGTAATTGCAGAGGTTTGTTGCTTACCTACTGTTTAAATGTAGGTACGACAATATTAAATATTGTAATACAAGCAAAACATTTATGAAATATGAAAACAATAAGTACCTAAGTGCTGTTCATATTTCCCGTCAACAATAAAATTATCTACATTCGTTCAGAAGTCAAGATGCTTCTGCTATCAATAGCTAGGTAATGATTAAAACAACCGAGTCATAGTAAATTATAGGCAAAGTACTCTGGGAATGACGTCACTTGTTTAGTGCACCGTATTTTTCCCTTTTTTTTTAACTTATGTGTACTCACTTTTTTCCTCGTCGCCACATGTAATGTCCTGCTTCTTGGAGTGTTTTACGGCTCACCGACACCACAACACTTGTACAAACGTCCTACACACAACCGCTCCGTTCGGGTGTCGGATTACGACTGACAGTCTGACAAGTGACGTAGGCGCATGAGACAACCAAGCAACACTTAATTTAGTCAATACACTACCGTTACCTATATATGTATTGTTTAAATAAAAAAGAAGGTACTAACAATATCATAACAGCTTAACATATAATTATTAGATTTAAATGTATTAACTTTTCGTCACTTTAAAAATAACAATTTATTCGGCGATGTATGTTTTAGGAACTCATTGTGTAGTAGTAGAAAAAAATATCCGATGTCCACGTGTTTGCAAGAATTTAATTAATTCAATTATTATGGGAATTTATCTATATTACATCTACATACAGGGCATGGATGCCTGTTTGAAAGTTTGCAAGCTTGTTATTCGACGGATTTCGAGTTATTCCAAGAAGCATTTATCAAAATATTTGCGTTATTTCAGGAATGTCAACGCTTAGTTAAAATATATATTTTGGCTTATCTAATAAACAGAACTCTGTATCGGTTTCGATGCTAAGATATAATGATATACAGATAAGTAGAATACAGACTGTCTTCGTTGGTCTCAGCATATTTTCTTTTGAAATCTTACCTTATGCTCGTCGAACTTTAAGACAAACTCCAAAATTTCTGCAAATTGCTTCACCAGCGCCTGCTGCTGCTCCAGATGCTGGGTTGGACTCATCCCTCCGCCGACTAGCGAGCCCAACACTCTGGGCACCACCTGGTAAGAAGAATGATTTGTTATATATTTAATTTATTGTGGTGAAAAAAAACTAACCCTTTTATTCATAGAAACTAAGCCAGTCTAATTTCAGTGTTTTATTTTATTTTTCTCTCGTCAACTAATTTGTCTCTTTCTATCAACTTGTATTTACTCTGCTATGAAAAGAGATACCTAAATGAGTACATTAATTTTTAAATTTTAGAAAATATAATTATCTATTTCTAAGAATACATCCGGAGCGGTTCGGTAGTAACAAGACAAGACTTTATTAGGAAAAGGTTTACGCTTGACAATCTCATACAATAGTAGGATAAAGAGAAAAAAATACAATTTTTTTATGTGGTAGACAGTTACAGGCAAACTTATATTCATGAAGGAGAAAACACATAATTTTTTTAATAATTATAAAAACAAAAGTAAATGTGATGAAACTGTGTAAAGTAAAATTAGAAGCATTTAATATATATTTCTTTTTTGACGTTCATAAGTGTACATTGTGTTACCTATATGAATAAATGATTTTGACTTTTGACTGTGAGGGGAGCAAATGTGCATTAACCTCACGTAAATTATAATTTATATTAAATGTCTGATTCTGACTAAACTAATCTATTGCTACATTACCAATCACAGTGGTTTTTAAATTATTATATTATTCTTAAACAAAATCTTCGTAGCAAGCAGTGCTTACATACATAAAGCTGCATGAATACGAATACAATGATTAAACATAACGTCCTTTCCGCCTTCGGAACGAACGTGCAATCTGGGACGTTTGAATAAAATATTAGAAGCCGGTCAAACGTGAAGCATCTGTTGTTTCTCTTAATGGACTTTGAAGTTTTTCCAACAGGATAACTTCAACTCTTTGGGTTCATTCAAATAGAATTGGTATCACCTACAGTTGAAAACCACCAAAAGGCGTGTTGGAACTACTCTAGATGATTTTACGAGACAAGTCCTTTATTACGTTCTTTCGTGGTAGAGGGTAGATGCATTAAATGCTAAACACCTAGTTTTTTTAATAATATTAATTAATTTAGCTTAAATAAAATATCGTTTTGTTTTAGATTTCACTAAAACAACGAATTCGACTTAGGGTCTTTCAACAGCGTACCAATTCTCAAAAGCCGGCAACGAACTCACGAGCCTTCTGGAATTGAGTGTTGGCATCACTTAACATCAGATGAGCCTAGTTCGCCCCTGTTATATATAAAAAAAGATTTCTATTCTAAGTTCATGCGTTAGTAAAAATATTTTCTCCATATTATTCCTCCATTAAAGTAGAATATTAATTTTCACATCTAAAGTAATCTGGGTTAAAATGTTGGCTTTCCGCCAATTCAGTAAGGTACTTAAATTAGGCGAAATAAGTTGAATTTGAGGCTGGATCACAAATTTATATAACACTACGTCAAAGCACCATCATATAGTATCAATTTTAAATACACATTTTAATGTTTCTTTTGGTCTTTGGTCTGCTTGAAAACGTGGTGACAACCACTGATGATACGACATAGTGACATAACATCTGAAATTACTGTACTAATTAGAAACAAAAGACGAACGATGTCACTAGTACTTGATTGTCCTAAATGCCAATCAAAACAATGACAATGAAAACAACGTTTTTTTATTATTAAACAGGGGCACCTATATTAGTGGGTACATACCTTTAAGGGAGTAAGGTCTATTTTAAACTTGAAGGTATCCTATGAAGACCTCCACCACCAACTAGGAGTAAGTTTTGGATATAGTTCGCAATAGTTTTTACGTACGTTACGAATTCCGACAATTCGCGTTTCACATATTCAAATCAGTGTTCTAAATTTGTTCCTTGTAAAAACAATATACATTTCAAAAATCGAACGAGCCTTATGGCAAAGTAGCGGCTTGCATTAATTTCAGTATATCGAGAATTGTAATTAACTATGTCAATACAATTGAACCGATATCACGATCCAGGAAGCTGAACTAGCGGTCGGCACGTACCGTTTAGTCTTGGTCTAATTCTCCCTTCATGCTATTTCAATTTGATTCAGTGATTGAACATCAAGATCTTTTTTATCATATGTCTGGTATTATATATACGTTATACAAAAAGAGAAAGAAAATCAGGAAACTAAATATTTTAATATTGAGTGTAACGGATGAAATGGGTTTTTATTTACCCACTTTTCATAATGCAATGGAACAACTGATTGATCAAATTTTTCGTGGCGCTACAACCGGATAGGTCCAGACCTAAGATTTCTGTATATCTTTCGTGATCATTTGTTTTTTCGAATAGGCAAGTAAGATCAGTCGACTTTTAAGGTCTAAGGCATGTCGGTTTCTTCACGATGTTTTCTCTCACCGTACGAGCGAGTGATAAACGCACTCAGAGTGAAAGTCCATTGGTGCCCAACCGAGGATCGAACCTTTCAGGCACGAGAGTCGCACGCTGCACGCCACTAGATCACCACTGTTCTGTACTTAGATGGTTACTTTACATCCAGAATAAAACACAATTGGGAAGCTTTAAGAAATTTGCGAATAACATGGTTTTATGGTAGAACCATTAGGTGAGTGAGACGCTGAAAGGAAGAGATAAAAAAGACGGTATATTCGGCAACTGGTGTGCTATCCAGTAGCGACCAAATGGTTGTCCAGTTAAATAAAAATCAATAAACTTTTGTGAAGAAAAAGAGTAAGAAACAAGGCCGTATAGAAAAAAAAGTTATCAGCAAAGAATGACTATGCAACTGACACTCCTTTGTCCCGGTCTCATTATAATTCAAATTTAGAACAAAAGGATTAAATTTAAAAGGAATAAAAGCGCCATAATTATATTCACCATCAGAGCTATAAAGACATCACTTTGTGTTTTTACAAAGCTTTACTATCTCGGTACAAGTCACGAACAAAACTTTTATATTTTGGATTGTTCAACACAATTAAAATGCGTCTCTGATATTTCTGGAACTATATAGATATATAATATAATATATATATATATATATATACGCTAGCCTTCATATGTTCTAGAATTTCTGTAAAGTGTAATAATAAGTGTTGTAGACAAATATGTGTTATAAATATGCTTCAAGTTTCTTTGAAGTAGTTTATAAAACATTTTATTTTTAATGTAATACGAGGCAAACTGGCCTAATCTGATGTTAAGTGACACCGCTGCCCATGTTCACTTACATTGCCAGAAGGCTCGCAAGTGCCTTGCCGGCCTTTCAAGAATTGGTACGCTTTTTTCTTGAAGGACCCTAAGTCGAATAGGTTTGCAAATACTTCCGTGGGCAGCTGGTTCCACATAGGGGTGCGTGGCAAAAACTGCCTTAGAAAACGCTCAGTTGTGGAACGACGAATGTCGAGGTGAAACGGATAGTGTCTATTATGTATTCTGCCATGACGTCCGATAGAACATTAACCTGAGCTGCAATAAGGACTATCGATTCTGGACCACGACGGAAGGATTGGGGGTGTGTTGCCAGGTTTTTTATATATTATTTTTATTTTATTTACGACAAATGGTAAGTTGTAATAGTAATTACAAAATAATACAATTTAATTCGTCAAAATTATGAAGTCCATTTTCAATTTTAAAATTTAACGTTTTTTTAAGCATATTTAATGAATAAATTTTAAAACAAAGTGTTGATTCCAAGAATTCAGCTTTTCATACTTTTTTAAATAATAACCTATTACGCAGTCGGTAAACACAGCCCTAACTCCGTAGCTGTTTCCTTTAATAATTTCCCAGATTCCTTAGGATGTTGTGACATACATATGGTGTTATGAATCACATATACAGTTGAGTCATGTATCTCGTGGATTGCGGTTACATTCGATTGGTAGCCATAATTATGTAGAGGTATGTCTTAATAGAATAGGAATGGATAACGGAGGGCTTCGGTCAAATATGCCGTTTTGACTACAATCAGTTTTGACTATATCGTTCATTTCAGATGCTTTATCTAGTATAATAGTCTTATCATAAGAGGGGCTAATATGCCTAGATAGAAAGAAAATTAATTCGTTGTACAAAGCATTTAATTGTTTGTTTTTCAAAAATAAAGCTGATAAGTAATTCTTGGGGAGTTCATGAGAAGTCACTGCAGCATTAAAGCTATATATATATATATATTATTTTTTATTATTATGAATATAATATATTATAAGATACATTTTTGTTTGGTTACTGCGCAGTTACCACAAATGTGTTAAGTTAATTAATTTTAAAAGTGAAATAATAAATTATGTATAATACAATATAATGTCATCCATTTAGATCCAGCATTTATATGATATATCACATATTTAAAAACAAACGAAAAACCACTCAACAGGATGCCGGGATTCACTTATGGTGATGTAATTCAACGTGTATGAAATGAATATTACAATGGTGCACCATATATGGACACAACGCCAAGTTTTGCAACACGTTTTTTTGGTAAAATTATCGAGCGAGAATTTCAGCTATAATACGGCCAATGTACAATTTCTTACAAAATTTACAGTAGAAACTCGATAAGTTAAAGTCCAAGGGAAACACAAAATATTTTAAATTATAAAGGTTTTAAGTTATCAAGGGTTTATGTTAGGGATAGGTTAATATAGAGGTAGGTATGTACCTTTATTCCTATTTTTACTCAAATGCGTCAGAAGGATTGTTCAATATAATACAGAAATTTAAATAATCCTATTTATTTATTCACATTACACACGTTACATAAAAATAAAACAACAATTAAAGGTTTAGTCTACTTAAAAAAGTCTGTGATTTTCTTTTGTTTTAAACAAGTCACAGTTTCTAAATCGATTTGATTTTCAATGACAAATAGAGAAGATAATACATTATCTTTTATGTTGCTACAATGCTCTATCAATGATCTTACAGTTATTAAAGCTCTTTTTGCTTCATTAACAATTTTATGTTATAGAGGTTGTGGAAACATTTCTTTAAGTTACTGAGGGCCAATTCAGAGATTACTTATTAAGTTACAGAGGTACTAATTAACAGATTTTTTTTTTTTTTTTGGAGTTTATGGCCTGGTATCTAGACCTTTAGGCCAAACAGAAATAATTAGTTTGTATATGTTCATAGAACATAGTACATAACTAATAAATGATCTGAAATGGTTTTTAAAATCTTGTCAAAGTGCCGTTTGCTATAATCATAACAACGTGGGAAATTGTGGATTTTGGTAAATTGTCTGTGAGAATTGCAACATCGTTTTATTTATCACGTTATCTACACTGAGTTAACATAATAGTCTCAGGGACTAGTGGTTGGTATAAAAAAAAGATTTTTGTGTTTGAACGCTCATTAAGGAATGTTAGGTTATAGCTATTAAAATATAGCGTTGTTTTTGTTTGTTTTATATTGTGTTGCCATGGCGTGACTAAGATGATATACAGTCAAAATCTGTTATAACGACATCGAAGGTACTACTCATGGTCGTAAAAACCGATAGTGGTAACAGCCGATGACGTTGTTATCAAGTACCTTATACAATAGAATTCAGCCGGGACCTTTGATTTTTGGTCAATATTACCGATATGTTGTTCTAAACGATGTCGTCGTAAACGGTTTTGACTGTATAATCATACGATTCTATTATAAAAGCACTAAATGAAAAGAAGTTTTATTACGATTATCTTCATTTAATACACGTTGTATTAAATGTGAATAATATATTTATACTTATTTTGTTACCATTGTCAATAAACTAATTATTAACAATTGAACAATTACATAGTAGAGTTTTCTTGACTGTAGCATTCAAAGTATAGATATTTTAAGAGATTTTTGTTTTTACAATCATATACTGAAAATTACCATCCCCGAACCAGACAATAGTTTCTAAAATTGTTGTCTGCAGTAAATGGTGCAAGGGCCACGCAATGCGACGCAAACATTGCCTCGTGCTGTCTCCAAAATAACAATCATTTTCACGTAACATGTTTTTCACAACTAACATCCTGCAATAAACTACTCTATTACAGTTTGGGTAATATTTTTTGTTATTGTTTTAAATATTTATTCATATTGTAGGAATATTAACGAAATAAATTGCCGAGCAAAAGAAAAGGCGGGCCTGCGGTGATTGAGCATCATTGACCCTCCAATGGGGTATAGCGCACAGGGTTCAGTTCGTTAAGATTTTTTTCTAGTTTTGGGTTGTCTGTGGAAATCGACCTCTATAGTATACCTTCCCTTGGGCACTGGAATACATTTAAATGTAATTTTAATACACTAAACACAAAAATGAGCGATGCGAAACAAGAATCGGCGTGACGATTATGCAATACAGTCTAGACCAGGTTTCCCAAGGTGGGGGCCACGCCCCACAACAATTTCATTGTTAGGAAGGAGGGGAGGTTGTTGGAATTCAAAAATGAATTGGACTTTTTTATTGTGTTTCGAAAATTTATTTACCGTGTATCGTTTTCGTTCTTATAATTTTTCGGGGTAATACACAGCCTATGAACACAGAGTCACAAAAAACGCTCACAAACATGTTAATATTAGGTCCTTACATATGAAATTGGTTTTGTATGGGAGGAACAAAAAGTCGAATATTTTTAAATATAATATATTTAATTAATCAAAGTATGAACCATTGTTTTCTATGCACTTTTGCCATCTCATAGGTAGTTAATTGATTACTTACCCTTTACTAAAAAAACCAGTCGGACGGGAATCAATAAAATCTGTGAAGGCGATTTGGACTGCCCCATCAGAGTTAAATTTTTTCCCTTGCAAGAAGTTGTCCAAATTTCGAAAAAAATTGTTATCTGTTGGAGCAAGGTCCGGGGAGTACGGAGGATGTCTTAGACATTCCAATTGAAGCTCTTCTAATTTGCTAGCCGTCTGTTGTGCAGTGTGTGGTCTAGCGTTGTCGTGAAGTAGCAGTGGTGTGTAGCGATTGACCAGCTTAGGTTGTTTAGCCGCTAGCTTTTACATCATGGTTTGCAATTGCTGACAATAGACATCAGCCGTAATAGTCTGGCCAGATTTGAGAAAACTGCAATGAACAATACCGGCACTAGTCCACCAAACGCTTACAAGTAACTTTTTTGGGGTTAATTTTCGCTTGGGGCAGGATTTGGCTGGCTGGCCAGGATCCAACCATTGCGCTGAGCGCTTCCGATTATCGTAAACAATACATTTTTCATCACAGGTAATGATTCGGTTTAAAATACCTTCATTATTGTGCCGGTTCAGTAATGTAACCCAGCAGTCGACGCGCGTTTGCCGGATTGCTTCAGTCAATTCGTGAGGTACCCATCTTTCAAGCTTTTTTAATCTTCCCAATTTGCTTCAAGTGAATTAAAACAGTTTTATCACTAACACCGCAGCCTGCAGCTAACTCGGACGTGGTTTGCGATGGATCCGCTTCCACAATAGACTTTATTACTTCATTATCAACTTGGGTCTCAGGCCGTCCACGGGGCTTGTTCTGCAGGTCGAAATTTCCAGAACGAAAACGTTGGAACCAAAAACGAACTGTGTTTTCTTTTGCATCATGACCGCCATACACATCATTCACCCTTCGAGTCGTTTCCTATAGTGCCACGGCGGAACTCGTACTCGTAAATAATGTGATACTTTAAGTTTTCCATTTTGTAAAATGAGTGACGCAAACAGAAAAAAACGGCAGAAAAAACAAATGAATGACAGTCATCGAAGCAAAAATACATGAGTAAATAGCTGTACAAATTTGAATTTGGAATTCCTTACCAAAGAGGAGAACATCGTGATTAAAGTGGCCAGTACGAAATACGCCAATTTCATATGTAAGGACCTAATATTACTATAGATTTTATACTGTCCTAACAGGGTTGTTAATATAACTAAAAAACGACCTCTAATCTCACGATGATTCTCTTTCAGAATCTAGTTGTCTTTCATACAATTGCCTTTAAAATTAAATACCTACATTGTTCATCCATAAGCATGAACGAGCCTGGAGGACTATAGTTTATCTTAATGGACGAATGCTTTTTAGCTGCATTTTATTGTACTGCGAAAATGCACAAAACGTCCGTATTTACTGACAGTGGTTGATTTACATGAATTTTATCGTGGTAGATGTAAAATATAGGGTACATTATATTTATAAAAATTTACAATTTGTATTTATTATTGTTTATATGCAACATATATTTGTATCGATAGTAAAAATTAAAAAAAAAACAATGGCGATATAACGCTTGAATTTCTGTATGTGTTACGTGATAAATTTTTTGTCTAATAGGCAAGTCATCAACTGACGTCGACTGTTGGACCCATCTAAGGCAATGTTCAATGCGCACAAACCCGCATTGGACTCTTTCAATAGTGTACTCTGGGTTTATACCCCTGTGGGCGTACCGGTCAGGCATGAGAATCGCAAGCTCAGGCCACTAGGCCAACATTGCTCTTCAACAAAAACCTTCTGGAGCAATAAACTGCTAACATATTTACGACAAATTTGAACGAAATATATAACATTTAAGGTAATTTTGGTAAAAAAACGTACAAATATTATTATTTAAAACCAAATTACGAGAACAGAAAAAAGCTGACATATAGTAAATAGGTAAACGTGACAGTCACATCACAAATATGTAATTTACAGGGCGTCCCAAGACTCCACAGATTGGGACATCAAGGGAAAGTACCTGAAATATCGTAGATAGGATATTATGCTGGAAGAAGACTTCCAGAAGCATTTAATGATTTCCTAAAAATTACTTGTCTCATCTAGGAATCGAACCGACTCAAATGTGAAACTGAAACAACACCCCTATGATGCCAATCGAAATAATGGACAAAAAATAACAATTCTTCTTTCTTTCAAATCAAGTAACATAGTATTTTGAATATAAGGTACTTACCCTTTACGTCCATAGTCTTCGGACGCTCTGTATATATATATATATAAAGGAATATTATTATGGATTTTTTCTAAATGAAAACACAAAATTGTTTCTCTGAAATACAAAGAAACGACATTTAATGTCCACTTATCTATCTTTTTTACACTATAATCCACTAAATTAATTTACACGTCATCCGCCATTTTATCGCGTGTCACTCCGACGCGTCAAATTCAAATTAATGAAATATCATTCCATTACATCTCCCCCCCCTAAGAGAAAAAATTCTGAATAATATATCTACACACTATACTTAATAGCTATCTTCATATTCGTTTTCCTTATATTTCATCTTCTTCAGATTCTGTTGTAACCGGTTGTAATTTTGTTATGTGGAACAAAGTTGATTCTGTTTTTCTGTTACCAGTGTCAATCCTATAAATGGAGTTCGATATTTTCCCTACTATCTTAAAAGGACCTATTTTTAATTCGTCTAATTTCTTTCTATTCAGTCTATTTCCATTCTCAACATATACACTGTCGCCTATATTAAACTCTTGCATTTTTCTTTTTCTATCAAATATTTTCTTATTGTACTTGTGGGATTTTATTGTATTTTCTAATGCCAATCTTTTATCAGCAATCCACTTGTCTTCTCCTTCTATTATTTTTAATTCATTTGGTAGAATGCTGACATTTGTACCATCCAGTAAATATTTTGGTGCAAAACCTGTAACGGAGTGTTCTGTTTCATTATATTTCTCTACACATTCTCTTGCCACTGTTGTCCATGTTCTCTTATTATTTTTCTCATTTATTCTACATCTTATTTTATTAACTATTGTTTGATTTAACCTTTCATTCAAGCCATTTGAGAATGGTGTATTCACAGCTGTAAAAATTAATTTAACATTATTTTCATGTAGATATTGCTTAAATTCTCTTGAATTGATGCCTGGATATTGATCTGTCAAAATTATTCCAATCTCATCTGTTTCTAGTACATTCTTTGTTAGTTTTATAAAATCACTTGCATTCTGTGTTTTTGACGTCACAATAAATGCATATCTTGTATAATGGTCTACTAAAAGGTGTAGGTACTTTTTTGTTGATCTAGATCCTCCAAAGCCACCTATAGTATCCATTGACATTATCTCAAATGGTTTTGTTGCTGGTCCCAGTTGTGACATTAATCCAAATTTTCCTTGACCTCTTGATTTATTTTTTATGCATATTTCACATGTTTTACAAATATTTATGATATTCTTTGTTAGGTTTTTAGCTGTGTATATTGGACTTATTTTTTTCTGCAATTGTCTGATCCCAATATGGCATAAATCTTCATGCACCTTTTTGATAAGTTTCTTACTAAATTCTTCTGAGAGGATAATCTTTTCATGTTTCTTTATTTTCTTATAATATATTGTATTTTTTTTTATTAGATTTTCTTTATATTCTTCTATTGTTTCATTTTTCTCTTGATCTTCAACTATATCCTTTATTTGTATTAAATTAACTATTTTCAATAATTCCTCTTTGTTATCTTCTGATTCTAATACAGGATTTCGGCTTAAACAGTCTGCTTCTACATTTTCTTTACCAGGTATATATTTTACCGTAAAGTCGTATTGAGACAGGTAGTATGTGAGATCACCCAATTCTTCGTCTGTCCTGCATTTAATGTTCATGTTTTCTAAAAATAATCTCAATATATCTATTTTTCTTTCATCTTTTGTTATATTAAAACGCTCACACTCTTTTTCAAAATTCTCTATCCATTGCACTGCATTAGGATTCTTACTTGTGAATTTTTCGATAATAAATTTCTCTGAAACATGTTTTAAATTATGTTGATTTTCTTTTTTTGTTGTAGATTCTATTAATTTTTCCAGGATATGTTGCAAATTATCATCATTGCCTCTTGGTTGTTTTGTGCTCATTTCCTCTAAATATTGATCTAAAAATTGCATATTACCTTCCTCATCTATATATGTTTTCTTTAGATCTTCATCAAATTTTACCCATATCTTTCTGCTTTGGTGCCTTTTCTTTATACTATTTTTTATTTTTGAAAAAGTGTTCAATTTAACTATATATG